TAGTAGTAGTAGTAGTAGTAGTAGTAGTAGTAGTAGTAGTAGTAGTAGTAGTAGTAGTAGTAGAAGTAGTCGTAGTAGTAGTAGTAATAGTAGTATTGAATGTTTTGGTATATGGAGCTGTAGATGCTAAATTGCAAGCAAAACAATTTTGTTAATCCAAATGTTCCTAGATATTTCATTTCTTTCTCTTTATTGGACTCCATACTTAAAAAATAAATAAATAAAAAACATTGATCATGTACTGTAAACATGCCAATAAATATATATTTTTTTAATTTAAAAAAATCATAAAATACCCAATTTCTACATGTTCATTACACTTCATATTTTATGTGAATTTCAAACTAAAAAGTGGTGCCAAGTAAATCCATACTCAGCGTAATGCTGCCACACAGCGGCAGAAGCACATAATTACAACCAGATGTAATAAGTTCGCTTCACCGCTAGATGGCGACACACGCGGCGGAGCTTGAAGGATCTCTCGTTGTTTGTTTACGACCCAGAACTTCCTGCCACCGATTAGCTTTGTTCTTCCTCGTAAGCTAGTCTTTTTAATTTACCTCCAAATCGGTTTTTAAGATGGGATGCGATGGCGGAACAATTCCAAAAAGACACGAGTTGGTCAAAGGTCCCAAAAAAGTCGAGAAGGTTTGTTAATCTTTTCTAATTTTGTTGAACGGGAAGTCAAGTGGTTCAGGAAACCTGTCGGTCGCTAACTAAGAGCTAAATAAATAGATTAGAAACTTCTAGTCGTATGTCTGTGACGTAGCTATTAACATTATATTTAGTTAGTTAGATCATGTTTTTTGTCAAATGCTAAATATATTTACTATTTGAGACACGAGTTTCCTGTTTAGCTTTCTGGCTGAAGACGAAGCTAATGTCATTATTGATCGTTATGTCTGATTTGTCAAGGTTGATAAAAATGCTGAACTAGCTGCCAAGTGGAAGTACTGTGCGTTGAGTCAGGAGAAACTCAGACGTCCCATTGTTGCCTGTGAACTGGGAAGGTAAGATATGACTTATTATTTCGTCTTTAATATTTTAAATCGCATTTAATTTTCTGTTTCTGTCCATATCTCCTGGTCAGAATGCTTATTAAACTATGTTTCTTTCAGCCTTTCTGTTTATTTATAACACTCCGTCTATTCTTAAAAACCTTACTCATGTTATGTTTTAGGCTTTACAACAAAGATGCTGTTATTGAATACCTTCTGGATAAGACCGCTGAGAGACCCAATTCTGAGGCTGTGACACACATTCGTGGAATCAAGGTATAGTGCTGTAATATAATTTTTTTGTGTGTCAAAACCCTTTTGTGTCTTTTTACTCATTGTGTTGATTTGTTCGTCTGCTTTTTTTCAGGATATAAAGGAGCTCAACTTGACTGATAACCCTGAATGGGAGGGAGAAAGAAGAAATGCAAAAGGAGACAAATATGAGGACATCCACTGCGGCATGTTCATTTGTCCTGTTGTCGGTTTGGAGATGAATGGCAAGCACAGGTAAACAACATTATTAAAGGGTGTTCTTGAGCCTCGTGGTTTATAATAAAGAGACTGTGACTTTAAACAAGAAATATTYACTAATAAAAAATGCACTCTGCATCTTTGCAGGTTCTTGAGCATGTCTTTTTCACAAAAACACTTTGGCTTTAAAGCTGAAACTTTGAGTCAAAGTATAGTCCTTTAGGCTGACAGAGTGCYCATGTAAACATATTCAGACACAAACATGATTGTGTGCATAAGCTTTGATTTAAAAACAAAACAAAAAAACCCACAAAAAAATTAAATATAGAACTGGTATAGATTAAACTTATATAGTTTCGAGCATCAAACCTCGTTAGGTTGATAAAGGATAGAGAGGGGAAACATACTAGTGAGTGAACAGAGAGTGTTGAGTAGATGGAAAGAGTATTTTGAAGAACTGATGAATGAGGAAAATGAGAGAGAGAGAGAGAGAGAGAGAGAGAGAGAGGAGGACAGAGCGGGGATAGATAGGGGATCAGGAAGTGCAGAGAATTAGTAAGGAGGAAGTGAGGGCAGCCTTAAAGAGGATGAAGAACGGAAAGGCAGTGGGCCCAGATGACATGCCTGTGGAGGTATGGAGATGTCTCGAAGAGAAGGCAGTGGATTTTTTGACCAGGTTGTTAAACACAATTCTGGAGAGTGAGAGGGTGCCAAATGAGTGGAGAAGCAGTGCACTGGTCCCCATTTTTAAGAACAAGGGTGATGTGCAGAGCTGCAGTAACTACAGGGGTATAAAGTTGATCAGCCACACCATGAAGGTATGGGAAAGAGTTGTTGAAGCGAGGCTAAGACGAGAGGTTCAGATCAGTGAGCAGCAGTTTGGTTTCATGCCCAGAAAGAGTACAACAGATGCAATTTTTGCTTCGAGAGTGTTGGTAGAGAAGTACAGAGAAGACCAGAAGCAGCTACACTGTGTCTGTGTGGATRTAGAGAAAGCATAACGTGTATGAAGACAGTGAGGTGTTCAGTCGGAGTGACAGATGGTTTGAAGGTGAAGGTAGGGTTACATCAGGGATCAGCTCTGAGTCTCTTCATGTTTGCAGTGGTGATGGACAGGTTGACAGATGAGGTCAGGCAGGAGGCTTCATGGAACATGATGTTTGCAGATGACATTGTAATCTGTGGTGAGAGGAGAGAGCAGGTGGAAGAGAACCTGGAAAGATGGAGTTTTGCATTGGAGAGAAGAGGAATGAAAGTCAGTAGAGACAAGACAGAATATGTATGTGAATGAGAGGGAGGGAGGTGGAGAGGTGAAGATGCAAGGAGTAGAGGTCAGAAAGGTGGAAGACTTCAAATATCTGGGGTCAACCGTCTAGAGCAATGGACAGTGCAGAAAAGAGGTGAAGAAGAGGGTGCCGGCAGGATGGAGTGGGTGGAGACGAGTGTCAGGGCTGTTGTGTGACAGAAGGATAGCAACAAGAGTGAAAGGGAAGGTTTACAAGACCGCAGTGAGACCTGCTATGATATACGGTTTAGAGACAGTGGCACTGRCTAAAACACAGGAGGCTGAGCTGGAGCTGGCATAGATGAAGATGCTGAGATTTTCGTTACGAGTGATGAAGATAGACAAGATTAGAAATGAGCAGATCAAAGGGACAGTGAAGGTGGAGCAGTTTAGAGATATGGCTAGAGAAGCCAGGTTGAGATGGTTTGGACATGTGCTGAGGAGGGATAGTGGATATATTGGACAAAGGATGCTGGAGATGGAGCTGCCAGGCAGAAGGAGAAGAGGAAGATCACAGAGAAGATTCATGGATGTAGAGAAAGAGGACATGGAGATGGTTGGTGTAACAGTAGAGGAGGCAGGGGATAGGATGAGATGGAGGCGGATGATCCGCTGCGGCGACCCCTAAAGGGAACASCCGAAAGACAAAGAAGACGAAGAAGTTTTGAGCATCAAACCACAATCACATTCCACCAAATATTGTTTGTTTCCTAGGAATATTSTGAGTCATGTCTTGCTTTGAGAAGTCCAAAACTTTCTGTTTATGTTGTTTTCAAACTAACAACTTGAGGGACACTTTCATTTGTTCACTTCAAAAATAAACTTTCCTCAAGAAAACAAATGATAGTTGTAGCCAYTTGAAGATAATCTGCCTCGTCTGATCATTGAACATGACATGGTGGGCATCAACTGACTAATTAATTTTTCGGACATTTTTTTTTRTTGCTAGACCCAAGGACATACAGACATTGTTTTTGATAAGATATACATTGRATTTTATAATTGTGTTCATCGAGAAAATCGACTTTGATACCAGAAAAACCATAATATGAGAAATAATTTCTGTTGAATATGTGAACTTTTCTTTTTCAGGTTCTGTTACTTGCAGACCTGTGGCTGTGTGTTTTCAGAGAGGGCCCTGAAGGAGGTCAAGACAGAAATCTGCCACAAGGTAAGAATTATTATGTAAATACAAAGTTTAGTTTCTACAMCTTTGCAAATCTCATATCAGGTTTTCCTATTGCAAATAAAGAATCTAACAGGAATTAAAAATAAAAAAACAGTTGCAAGGTGGCAATAATAGTTTCACAATTTCACTTCTAGGAAAAGAGCATTAGAGATTTTAAAATACTAGGATTCTGTAAAGTGTAACATTTAAGACACTTGATAGAAAACATATTACACCTTTACTATTTAAATAAATATAAGACTGCTAATAAAAACAAAGATCAAATGTGTCAGACTGAATATTATCATTTAAAAATGCATAATTAAAAAATGCTGTTTAGGAAACTAGCTTTAGTGAACAGAAGCACAAAACTCTTCTGTAGTTTCATGAGAAGCAGATGCCCTACATAAATTGATAAATTTAGATGCACCATACTGTTTTATGTACTTTTTAGCTTGTCCATTGTTTACATTTTAGGTCCATTTTTTTCTCTTGAAGTATTTTCTGACCTAATGGAAGCCCCATGGGCGTTTCACAGAAGCAGCTCTTTAAACTATTTTTAGATCTGACGTCAGGATTTGTGGTTTTTTAAAGGCAATAGTTCCCATGCACAYACTATTTTGAGAAATTCGGCAGCAAATGATAGCCAGTCTTCTTGTTMTTGTCCCAAGAAAAAATACATCTCAGGTTCACTTTTTTGAGTTTGTCGGGAAAATAAAACCACTAGAGAAGTTGTTCGTCTTATGGGAGGTCTATGTGCAAATACGTACTTTGCTATTATGACATTGTCATGTAGTATTTAATGTTGTTATTTTATTTTGGCTGCGTGTCCTTGTTTGGTTTAAACRCATACTTTAGCTGTTCATAAATTTGTACTCATAGTTGTCAAATGCTGAGCATGGGAAAATATCTAGTAATGCTAAATATCCAGACACTACTTATCCATTTTTAGTGAGTGCATATGTTTTTTTTTTCTCTGGGACAGCAGGATTATGCAAAAATTCWAAAAAAWTTCCATGACAAAAACATGACAGAACAAACTGGACTTTCAGGGTTAGGGTTAGCTTCATGGTGGTGATAGAAAAGGACTTGTTATTGAAACGGAAACGCTATGAGGACATATACTGTATAACAGAGGAACTGAGCTCTTCTTGAGGAAAAAAAGGAGGATGGATTTTATAAACAGATAATAAAAGATTTTGGTGAGTAAAATATATTTTATTTAAATGTTTTATTTAGTTGTCAGTTTATTATCATCAGAATCAGAATCAGGTTTATTGGCTAAGTATGTTGACACACACAAGGAATTTGCAGTTTAGAACATCCGTCCGGAGAAACACACASACGACAAACATGGTGGAACGAATATCCAGGGTTCTTCGCAGCCTGCTTTTTCCTGCTTTGAGTCTTAACCGTGCCTCTGTGTTGCAAAAAATGCCAATGTTCCAAATCCAGTTATCTCCTCGCTCTCTTACCGTATGAAACTTCACCCAGTTATGAACACTCCTCACGGGTACGCTGCTGAACTGTGATCCTAGTCAAAATCACATCCAGTCTGCGACTTATATCCCCCAGCAATGCGTGCCTTTCCATTATGGGAGATTCCATCCAGGGTCCCTGACAGCTTTTCACAGGCCCTGACTGCTGTCAGGATCGTTTTAACTTTCCGACAAACCAGGACTCCTCCACAGCCGATCAGCAGGAATCCGATTATCATAAATCCGAATATAAACACATCTTTGACGTCTTCAATGGAAAGTGGTGCTAGGCAGATCAGGTTCCACCCCCAGCTCCCGGTCACATGCCCGGCCCCGACTGTTCCACTGGGACAGCTGCGCTCCCCTCGCTCCAATTTCAATGTGGAAAAAATAGTGTCAATTGCATTCAGAGACCAGTTGACCAGATCCATAATTATTTTGTTGTTGAATGATAGGTAGAAGAAAGGCTTGATCCAGCAGCAAAGCAGGAAAAAGGGAGGTTCGGGAGAGAGAGCAAAAAGCGTCCAACTCCTCTGAAGGCCAAGCAGGAAAAAAAAGATGCTGTGTTTAAATGTATGTGGCACAGCTGTCGCTGCACTTGGAGAAAACTTGTTAAATGTGTCACTTCAGTAATGATTTGTATTCTGATCCCTTGTCTGTGGTTCAACTGAGACACCTGTCTGTGGTGTAACAGCATATACTCTTCTTTTCTGTGTATTATTGGTAGTTTTTGCAGCCGTGACATCATGTCAAGTTGTACAGATTCTCTGTAAATTATACAGATTTTCCKCAATTCCGCATACAGTCCTACAGGACAATCTTTTTCTAAAAGTTTGCTTCAAATTCATGAAGTGTCAGATTTGGCAGCCTGGCTTCATTTTGCCCTCCTTGCTCCTACTGCCGCTGCAGACTCTGTTATCACTGCATCTCCGCAGCTGACAGCCGCACCCACCACCCCCTGCATCTCCGCGTGTCAGTTCCCCCCATTGGCCTAGGTGTAAAATGTACAGCCCGCCACTGCAATTTATTCTACATTCACTGTTGTTAATTTTTTTATTGAAAACAAAGAGAAACAAGTTACAAAGCACAATATTACATGAGGACAGAAGTAAAAACAAAGGGCAAAAATGTCTTTATTGTTAACATTTTTTTCCATTTTTAAATCAGTGTTGTACTGTCCTAAACATGTGGTAAATATACAGTATATAGTATATTTAGAAACTGAGCATCCTACAGAATTAAATAATTAACCTATTATTTTTAAATATCTTATGTTAAATACATATACAACCAGAGTATAAATTCTTGAAAAAGAAAAATAGATAAACATGTTTGCAATTGGACAGTGCAGTCCTCTGACTATTCCAATAACCTACCATAACAGTGATTTCAGTGTCCAGCACTGCTGTTGCTGAAACCACTATCACTGCTGCTCGCTGTATATTGTGCAGCTATCAGCCATGATGCTTCTTCAGGAACAGATGCCTGGTTCAGCACTTTGTTTCTGTGCCACTGTTCCAGACAGTCTAAAGCTTCGGGATAGGTATTGCTCTCAAACTTATTGGCAAACATGCTGCCACTGCTGATGATCCATGGGAGATCTTCCAGTCCGTAGATACAGATGTTTCGTACATAATGGCCTGGAAAATGAAAGCAGTAATTGAGGACATATGTTTGTATAGTTTTGTTTTGTACTATTTGACAGCTGCATGTTTGTTGATTGGTTTGTGTGGTTCATTGTACATAGTCTTTTTAAGCTTAAGCTTAATTGGTTAGATGTGTCAGTGTTTGAAAATGTCTCAAGCAAGGAGTGTAAATTCTTGTCTATTAGTTGGATAAAGAGTTAAACATAATAATGAAAGCAATGAGGGAAAAAAAAGGAAAAAATTTGTTTTTAGTTTAGATGAAAAAATTTCAGTCAAATTTAGTAATGACTTTCTTAACGGGTTTACCAGACTTCAAGCTGTGATAGGGAATTGCAACACAACAGACAATGATATAAATATTAATGGTACCTTTGCAACCATCATGCATTTTTCCCTCCTGGTCTCTCCACTTGATTGCCCGGATAGCTCCTTCCCAATCTCCATCAATCCGACTGCCAGGAGCTTCTTCATATAATTAGACAAAATAAAGAATTATTTTGTGGCCTAACTAAAATACATCTTTTTCTGTTTGATACCCCCCAGGTATGCTGAACAGCTTGTATGTRTCTATAAAAGCTTAAAATGATAGCTTTGCTTAATCTTTAGTGTTCCACTGGTGTTGATTCTCACCACCTTTTGATATTTTTGATATTCCATTAGAAAATGTTTGTTCTGATCATTTCTTCCTTTAAGAGGGATTGCATCAAGTACGAATTTATTAGTTGATTTAATTATTTTTTATATATAAGATTACCACTTCTGGGGTGTAATTAATAATGGTATAGACATTTATAGTGTATTTATTTGTTTTTTAATCCGTTATTCATTTGTTTATGTCCATGAAATTACCATTTACCTAAAACCCAACAAGATTTCTTGATGTACCTGCACATCAGCAGCCAAGCTAATAATAGTCCGTTTCCTGTTATCAGCCAAGCAGTCAATATGTCAATGCTTCCTTTTTCCAGTAAATTGAATCTTAATCTTAAAGCCACTCCTTGTGTTTTTCTAAAGATGTGATCTAAATGGTGCCATTACCTATTTCTAAACAACATTAATCCCAGATTTAACAATCAAGTTGCCTATGCACCTAAAAAATAAGCGTGTTTTTCTTGTGTTCAGCAGTTTGTGGTTTAGTATCTCTTATAGCATTAGTTAGGAAAACTATAGTTTTATGACTTTCTAAATTCATACGATTTTATTATTATTTTTATTTTTTCAGTTTTTGGAATCTGTTTTGATAACTAATTTGTGAATGCTAGTTTCACAGTTATACCCGTTTACACAACTGCACTGCAAACTAATGCAATATTTATTGTGAAAATGCATTCACATGACCACAATGAATCAGTCTGCCATGTCAGGCTTCAGTCACTGCACTTGTGGTCCGACCTCTCTTTCCTGGACCAGTCATGCTGTACTGGCAGTAACAATACCTCGGACATTGACCTCATTGGTAGATGTCTCATGTATTTTTCAGGGGAAATGAAATATCCAAAAAAAAAAAGGGGAAGCAATTTTACTCTTGTTCTTTTGCTTTCCCTCTCAGTCCTTCAAAATTAATCACAGAATGAACTTCAAAATGCTCGTTTGAGATGTGTTATGATTCTCATCAGTTTTTAAACTTCATCCATTCATTTTCTTTACCCACTACTTCTTTTCGGGGCATGGAGATCTGGTGCCTATCTAATTTCAAAATCAATAATTACATTATTTTTTTAATCAGAATTTTGCATGTGGATTTTTGTGTCTGCATATTATTTTTTTGAAAAGCATATTACCTTTTATGTGATTGAGCGTCACCCAGTAGTGTTCATCTGGACTGAATGTGTCTTTGGACCATTCCAAGAGGTTGTGAGCTATTGGGTCCTTCAGAACAAAGTCCACAAAAGCCCTCGTTAGAGCATAGTATGCTGTTCCAAAGTAAATTTGTAGATTATGAGGAGGAGGACCTTTTCTCAGTCGTGGGCGTTTTAAAGTCATATGTGACCCTTTGATTTCTTCATACTGGAATTGTGTCCTATACCTCATGGTCCAAGGCTGTTTGATCCCTGGTGTCATGTTTTTGTCTTTCCACTGTTTGCTCTTCAAGTATTGCACCAGCTCCAGATTGCTCTTGACGGGGAAATCCTGTCCACATAAGTTTACCACTTTCTTCCAAGCTGTCTTTGACTTCGATAGATCCTTCATGCAGTTCAAATCAGCTTGCAAGCGGGAAAACCCAGCATATGTCACTGTCTCGCTGCGGCTGGAGAGGAACACATTTGGAAAGCATCTGACAAGCTTTTGTATGGCCACCTGGTACTCCAGTGGAGCTTTTGCGTCAACGTGTATACAGTAAACGTTTTGTGGCATGTAAATGGCTCGCAACATGCGAACAAAAAGCTCCAGGTCTTTGTGAATAGTGATAATGAAAGCTAAAGGGTAGACCTCCTCTTCGCGACTTAGGGGTCTGCTGATAAAGTGCAAGTCTCTTATCAGCTGTGAACACTGCAGATAACTATTGASGATATAGCTCTTGACCTGTAGACAAACAAAAACAATAAATACATTAAAAACTGGATCAGCTGAGGCTACTTTGTGACACAGTTCCATTTTTAGCACTCTTTAATTTTTCCATCATTTGTCTGATATCCAGTTAATGCTATGTAAATACTGATGCGAAACATTACAGTTTAAAAGGGCAAATGAATAGGGACACTGTTGTTCACTGAATTACATCATCATACTGAAAGTTACAAGTGAAATGGAAAGTTAATGAAAATTTGACCCAGAAGTTTTTATACATGCCATTTATTATACAACCCTCCCGAATGTGTGGGGGAGCGTACCTGGCAGTCAAGCTGATACCATAATCCTTTGTTCTCTGTACCAGACAGAAAAGGTCTACACTGGGTGGAGAASGGTCTGCAGCTTGGAGTTGGTAGACTGTTTTGTTCAGTTGGCGTTCTAGTCTTCAGATAAATTAATGAACATGTAATAATACTCATCCCAAGGCACAACAGGAAGGTGCACTTTGTCCTTCCAAGCTGGCACATAATAATCCAGATTCTCTGTAGTATGCCAGCACCGCTGAAGTTAAAGCCCCTGCAACAAAAATATCTAGTTATATTATTTGCAGAAGATTCCCAGATCCTTGGGGGATGATAAATGAGGTTAAACAAGTAGGTTGTATCTAATTATTGAAGCCAGTTTTTCGTCTAAGGCACTGAATCTAGTCTAATAATATCTGATATCTGACATGTTACACTTTCATTATTTCTGGTTCTTTGTCAAAATGCCTGTATTGCTACATTATACATTAGTTTTTCTGAACTGGTTGACATTTAGAGCTCTTGAATAATAATAAAACAAAGTTCTTAAATGGTAGAGATTACAATATGTTCTGCTCCATATTGCATCATGCATCACAAACTCTACAGTTAAAGGAGCCACAATCAATAACAATAAAACAAGGTTATCAACATTTGTTAGACCTTAAGCAACGTAAAAAGAAAAAAATAATTTAGTTAGTTTTTCCCCTTTGTAAGTTAGAATGCTTTTTCAGGGTTGACCACATCCTTTGTATAGTTCAGCCACAAAACTTCCCCTATTCAAGCCGAGTTTTATTTCTGATTGGTTTAGCCCTTGAACAACATACAATAAAAAATGGCAATGTTTTAGTGAAAATACTACAAAAACAACAAAATTAATTAATAGCAACAGAAATGTTTTTGCAACCTGACAGGCTGCATGCTGACCCATTTGTTTCTCTCAACCAAATTGAAATTTTTTAGGCTGTCTTGTGATGAATGTGTAGATATTTACAAGTAGTGTTTATATCTGTGGCTAAAACATTTAACATGTATGAATATCTACAACAGATTACATTTAGTAAATTAGAGACATTTACTGTTTATTTTATTCTGATGAAAATGGAAAAAACGTATTATTTCTTTTAAGTTTCGTAAGTTAACTATGTCAACTTCAAACAAGCAGTCACAACGTGGAGGAAAAAAAGAGAAATCAGCAGTGGTGGTTTGGTTTGATGAGTTATAAGCTGTTCAGAGGAAATAAGACTGCCAAGCTTTTTGTCTGTGTTTTGACCAAAGAGATTTAATTAAACTATGACACCTACATTTTTTTTTTCATTTTGTCCGATCCCATTGATTCTGTGTGTTTTAAACTCACAATATTACTTACTTTTAAATATTTTAGTTTTTCTGGCTTTATTATACCTTATATCTGTCTATATTTTGCTTAATGTTCTTACTTGATTCCCACATACACCAAATATTCAGATTCCCACAGGGGATGGGGATACTGTGGAAATGTGTACACCTATAGTCTGCACTTTAGATGCTTCTCCCAATGATTTTAATCTTACAGATGCTGGCATAGAATACTGCAAATGCTCAAATAAATATTTTATTTTCTCAGTCAAGATTCATTTTGTGTTTATGTAAGACGATTGTTATTCTACAATCCGTACACTCCACTGGAAGATCACTGTATTTGTTGGTTGTGTTTATCATGATCTACACCTTGTCTGCAGTAAAGGTCTGTCAGAGCATTAAAAAGGAGGAAATGGCGTCTGGTGTGTTCAAGACTTCAGTCATTGCCAACAAAGGGTTTTCAACAAAGTATTAGAAAAGAACATTTTATTTATAACTATTTAATTTGTCCAATTACTTTTGAGCCCCTGAAACGAAGGGATTGTGTTTAAAAATGCTATAGTTCCTCACATTTCTAAGCAATCATTTTGTTCAACCCACTGAATTAAAGCTGAAAGTCTGAACTTCAACTGCATCTGAAATGTTTTGTTCAATATTCATTGTGGAAATGTATAGAATTGAAATTAAGAAAAAGTTATTTCTGTCCAAATAGATATGGGCCTAACTGCAGCAGTTTACAGCTGCTGTTTGTTTGTGGGCCTTTCCGTCTGAAGTTTAGTCTTTAACAAGTGAAATTCTCATTGGGTTGGGATCTGGTAACTTACTTGGCTATTCAATAAATTTCCACTTATTTACTTTAATAAATTTCTGGGTTGCTTTGGCTTTATATATTGGGCCATTGTCCATTTACATATTATGAAACGCCGACCAATCTGTTTGGCTGGATTTGTGCACACTGTATGTCTCTGAATGCCTCAGAATTCATCCGGTTGCTTCTGTCCTGTGTCACATCATCAATAAACACTAGTGACCCAGTGCCACTGGCAGCCATGCATGCCCAAGCCATCACACTGCTCTGCTGTGTTTTACAGATGATGTGGTATGCTTTAGATCATGAGCTGTACCTCACCTTCACCATACTTTTTTTCTTTCCATCATTCTGGTAGAGGTTGATCTTGGTTTCATCTGTCCAAAGAATGTTGTTTTAGAACTGGGCTGTTTTTTATGTTTGTTTGTTGTTTTTTTTTTGTTGTTTTTTTTTAAAGTCCAATCTACCCATTTTGTTTTTTATGCTTAAGTGTGGCTAGCATTGTGCTGGGAACCCTCTTTGTTTACTTTTATGCAGTCTTCTCTTCATGGTAGGTTTGGATATTGTACATCTACCTCCTGCCTGGAGAGTGTTATTCACTTGGTTGGCTGTCGTGAAGGGGTTTGTCTTCATGGAAATTATTTGCAGTCATCACCATTGTTGTCTTCCTTGGGTGTCCAGGTCTTTTTGCATTGATGAGTTCACCAGGGTGTTTCTTTCTTTCTCGGGATGTACCAAATTGTAGATTTTGTTGCTTCTTCTATTGTAGCATGTTAAGAAGCTGAACTTCTAAACCCTTTCTCCAGTTTTAATGTGGATAGCCTCAAATGAAAGCTGAAAGTCTGGACTTGTCCATGTTCAATATATAACTATAACATAAATATGTTTCAGTAAATGGGTTAAAAAACAACTTTGTGTCAGTGTCCAAATAGATAAGAACCGAACTGTATGTAATAAACACAAATGTGGACAAATTTGTAGTTAAGATAAGCGAAGACAAAATGTAAAAAACAAGGCAAGGCACTTACCTTGAAGACAGACCAATCTGTCTCTTGTATAAGTAAAACTTTACACACACTTGTTTTGTTGATTCCTGGAAACTAAACTGGTCCTCTGAGCTGAGCTGCTAAAATCCATCAGGAGTCCTGCGGTGAACAGAGGTCATTTTCATTAGTCCCATCAACAAGAATACAAAAAATCATCAGCAGCTAATATTTTAGCTTTAACTTTGGTTGTAAAGTTCACTTTGTGATACTGTGATTTTGTAGCCGAGTTCTCCGAGCGTTGGTTTTTCTCAGAATCATGAAGCACTTCTTGTTATTCTGTAGTTAGACTCATAGCTGATAAAGTCACTCCCTACCACATCCTCATGAGACAAGCTCCATCCCTGCCTGGTTACCAGCAGTAACACCCAATCACACTCGCGAGTCAGGAGCATACTCAGATCATACACACACACTCTCATGAAGTTTTTTTTTTCCACTCTCCTCCCACGTACAGTTTCCTACTCACTTGTGCAATGCATCGTTTTTTTTTTTTGCTTCCACTAGATCTTCATTGTTCGTCAGAACACCTTTTCAGGATTTTATTCTTCTTTTTTGTCCATCAAACCTTATTAAATTCCAGGTTTTCTGTCAATTTAAAAATATATATAATGCCTCTTAGTTAAATAAGCTTGCTATTTCTCTTGTTCGCCTTTTTAGTTGACAGGCAGCTGTAGCAGTCTGCAGTTTTTGCTGATATGCTGATGATAAGGTGCTCAACTCATCGTTGGTCTGTGTTGCTGTGGTAAAGGCAGCAGCAGAGTTACTGACATTAGAACAGCACCCTCTGAGTTTGTTTGCTGCTTGCTCAGCTTCTGAGATTATTCCTCCTGTGTTGAAAAGAGCACATGGCTGGAGCTCCAACTCAGACAATGAACCTCTTGCTGGTTGCTCCAGTTTAATATTTGTGTTTGTATATGGGTGTGATTTCCCTTTTTTCTGAAGCAGTTGTGCTACTTTTGTTATTGTTGCAGAACACAGAGAAGGTTTATTGTTTCTTTTCTTAATTTAGCATACCTGGAGATCCGTTTGAAGTTAGAACTTTGAAAAGAAAAAGCATAAAAAGTATCTTTCAACCCATTGCTGAAATTAATTTGAAGAATATTTGTATAATCAATCAAAAGGAAACTGAGGCTTTGTTTAACTGTAAAATAATAATAATTAAAAATAAAACATTAAACAAGAAAAATAGCGATTCAAGGACATCAAAAAAATTTCATCCTGAAAAGGTCCTGGCACAGAAAGCTCTTATTATAAAAAGCTGAAATGACCTTTTATGCAAGTTTTTGTTACAGCAGAGCTTCTCTCTGACTGAAAATACATCATCGGCTCATCTGTTTATTGTGCAGTGGGTGTGCAGTGTTGTACATTATGTTTAATTGGATTTAATTTGATGTGTGCATTGCTAATCAAATATTCCTGCTTTCACTCCAGAGTCTCTCTGGGGAAACCAAAATGTCTCCAGGAAATATGAAAATATCTTCACATATTTCCCTATTTGCTTATTCAATCTACCTAAACCCGACCACAGATCTTTTAGAAACAATATCGTAAATTTACATAATTCAGGACAAACAAACCACCACTTTGCAAGACAAAATAGAACTACTACTCCCTGTCACCTGTGCTGCTGAAACATTTTAGAGAGAAACTCAGTAAATCTTTTTTGGGCAAATGTCTGGTGTCAGTTTCACTTTCTAGTTGCACCAAATTAAAAAAAAGCGCTCTAGCATACCGGTAGTTTAATTTGAAGTAATTTGACCAGGACATGCATGAATGCATACGTACAGGTAGGATATTTTAACTGCAGCACCTTTACTGTCTGACATCACCAGACAGGTTTCCCTACTTTAGACAGTTTTAGTAAATTAGGAATATGTACTGTAAAGTTTACACTTTGCAGGTGAAATTTTAGTTCCAGGTAAATCTCAGTATTTATGAAATATATTTTGCAATAATAAGAGTTTCTTGCCAATGCTCAGGTGGCAATATATTAGGTTAACGACCCCCACCTCCTACATACGCACACATATACCCACAAAAAGCATTACCAACCATGGCCAATAGGGGCAGATAAAAGTTCTGCACTGCAGCTAGATGGTAAATTTTTACAGTTATAATATTTTCAACAAATGGACTCCCTTTAAACTTTCTGGTTGAGTATTTACGTGTAACATTCAGAGTTTTTATTTCAAATGTTTTCTTCCATTTCAGTGTGGGGATCCTTTTAAAGAAGATGACCTTATTGTCCTTAATGGCTCAAAGGAAGAGGTTGAGAAGCTCAGAGAGAAGATGGAGGAGAGGCGGGTAAAGGCAAAAACTAAGGTGAGATTTTTGTTTAACAAATACAAGGTGATGAAATGGGTCGAATGGTTTGTTAAACATCACACATTTGCTGTTCTGCTCTTCTGTTTTGTAATGAGGACTTTTCTTTTTTTTTTCTTTTGAAGAAAACCAAGAAGAGCAAGGCATCTGAAACCAAGTGCACAACCACAGAATCAAAAGGTTTGTCTGGAAATGAGTCATATGGTTAGCAAATACTTTTAGCACCGACAAAAAAAAAAAAAAAACATGCAGCTGAAACATGACATAAAATGCACTCCCTTATTTGTTTAATGCTTTGAATGTGATGTGGGATAGTATTGGTAGTAAATCATTTGAGGTCAAGATAATGCGACCCATTATCTGAACCTTCATGTTCTTCGTTGCTTTGTTTGTGGTTTTTGTATCCCTTGGAGGAAAACTGTTGATCTGCAAAGCATTTCCTTGTCCATTTTACAAACTCTATTTTCCAAGATTCACAGAACCTCTGTGCATGCAGCATGCTTTTTWAAGGGTTGCTTTAGTGTGTAATGAAGCTAAGCAAAGGTACACAACAATTGTGGTTTTGCTAATCATGTCACCCACCAGTGTTCTTTAAGTCCTCGTGGTTTTTGTGTTCACTTCTCACCTTGAATCATATAAAATGCTGCTGGGAAAGAAACTCCTGTGTGCTCAAATCAAAGCACTAAAGAAGAAGAAACAAATGTCACGATTTTTGTTCTCCTGCTGATGTTGAACACCTTGTTTATTAAGATAGAGTGGTCTTACAAAAACAGACGCTACAGACTGAAGAACAACGGAAAGTTTAACCTCGCTGTTGGCATTTTATCATTAAAATCAAACAATTGTAGTTAACTGAAAAATCATTATTATTTTAGTATTTTTATTTTAGTTATTTTCCTATCTTTACTTTCTTATCCGGTAAGAAAAAAATTGTCAAGTTAATTTATAAAGCATCTTTCACAGACAAATGGCAAAAAATACTTCATAGTAAAATACAATGTAATGAAAACAATACAATAAAAACAATGCTTGTCAACTAATTTATACAGTGTATTAGCTGTAGCCTCACCCAGCTAAGGTGAAATATGCTAGTTAGTGTTATTAGTTGCACTGAATGATAATCTGTTCATCTGCTCATTTTACCTGATTTGTGTTTCCCTCACAGAAGAGCCACAGTCTGCATCTGCAAATGTAGCRGAGACAACATCTCTGCAAAATGGAAATGAAGGCAGCCAATCAGGTAAGTAAACACGATTATCTTTTATAACCTTAAACAGAACGTTTGTTTGATCTAATGCTGGCACAGTTAAATATTTGGCTATATGTTGATGGATGAATTATTAACATGTGATGCTGATGATGGATCTTTAAATCCAGGGTGAATTTTAAAAGCTGTGCATGGGGTTTCATTTTATTATTTGTACTTGTTGGTTACTACACTTGATTTACACTTGATTGATTGACTTTAGATTCAGATTCTCTTTATTTTCATTTAAGCATAACATCAGGGATGCGATGTAGAACGAAATGCAGTTAAGAACACTCATTCAAGGAAAACACACCTAACAAAACATGGGGGAATAGGTCATGCGGCGACTGTATCGCGCTACCTGTAACAGCTGAAAATACACAACAGGAAAGTTGAGTTAAAATAATTGCTCTGATCCTGTGTTTACATCAGAAACATAGAATCATATGGACAAAAAAACGACTCGCGAGAGAGCAAGACAGCCTGGGGTAGGGAGGGAGCTTAGGTCAGATAACACATGAGCAGGGGTGGGGATCAGTGGAGTCGGTGACATTGAGGGTGGGTGTCCGTGTTAGGACCCGACCATAGCCCCCCCAGAGTCCAGAGTCACATGATGTTATCGTCTCTTGCTCGACACGCCAGAGTTCAGAGTCACCTCCTCCTCGGCCTTGGGTTCACAGGCCAGGTCCAACACAGGTGATGGGGTGGGAGGGAATCAAGCCCTTGTTGTCAAATCCTTAGGGAGTTTCAGATAAGCATGGCAATCAAGGCCAAGCCACTGCGACCCAATAGATAAACCCAATTGTTTTGAGACGAAACAGCCTTGAATTTCATGCTGCTTTTAATGTCTTTACTGCATCTCTGAAGTGGTGAAAAATTCCAATTTGCTGAGTTCCAGGGTCAACCTCGCCTCTTCAGCCAGAGGCACACTCCTGTGCTGCAATCCAGTTTCCATCCAGTTTGCGATTTACGTCCCCCAGCAACTGAGTCTGTGTGCTCCCAGCCCGGCAGAAACCTTCCAGTTCACCCAACAGCTTTTCAACGGCCCGGACCGCTGTTAGGGTCGCTTTTACTTTTCGATAGATCAGGAATCCACCTCCACCGATCAGCAGAAATCCTGTTATCATGAATCCAAATATATACAAATCTTCCATGTCTTCAATGGAAAGTGATGCCAGATACATCAGGTTCCAGCTCTCCCCCAAGAACCACTGATCCACCCRGCAGCAACCATTCCACTTGGACAGCTTTGTTCCCCTTGTRCCCAGGGCCGGATTAACACTTCGCTTTACACTGGGCAACAATATTCAAGGGTCCCATCATCACGACCCCAGGATTACCATAGTTTTGCAAAATACAGAGTAAATTATTGCAATATAGAGTAAATACATTCAATACTTCAAATTCTAAGTGTATTTTGATGTACAAATGCTCATAGAACTACAAATACACTACGATGTCCTCTTGTCAAGGACACTCCTTCACATGATGCTATGAAAACAAAACACATCAGTATAATCTGGTAAACATGACCCACTACATTGAGATCGAGGGAAGTGTCCTCCATTTACACAAAAGCAACGCTTGACATTACGCAACCCTCTCAGTCACCTGACCCGCCTCATGTGGACTGACCAATGAGGAGAAGATCTCAACTCACGTTCACAGTGACAGGAAGCCTCTCTGTGCAGTGCAAGAGCTCCAGCAGACAGTTTCACAAATGCAGGAGAAAACCAGATATTTAGCTGGTGCCTTCACTCAAGGGTGTAACCATCATCTCAAAAGTGAGGAGGACACATTTTTTAGAGGTCTATTGAGTGTTTTATCATCCTCTCTTATTAAATCACACACCTCTCCTTAGTGGCTAAAACACATATAATTACTAACAGCCACAGTACAGTTCCACTGACTGACTTTAGTTCTTTAAAATATTTACTTACAAAATCTAAAGTTTTAGCAGCCAAAAGGTAGTAAGATGGAAAACAACATTACTGTGAGCAAACATAGACTTTAATAAGAACACTAGACTAAGCCCCGRCCATCCCATCCACTGTTAGTGTCTGTGACAGCATGGAGGAGTAGAAACAGACCATCAGGGCAATGGCTCACAGCCACCATAGAAACTAAGAGATAAACAGCAAGCTGAACCGGATGTGTTTCACAAATTATCGGTCATGTTTTTACAATAAAATAATAACTGTTAATTTCATTCAACAATCATGTAAAACAGCAGATATATATACCAGAAAAAAATATATAATTTATAGGTAACAATGATCTAAACCAGTCCTGAAGTCAGTCAGTAACTTGGACTTTAGCTAGTTGAAAAACCTGCGTGCACAGCGAAATGCTCCCGTCACACCTGTCTTTCAGGAGGAGAGAGTTCAGTCACTCACACAGAGTTGGACAGATCTGTTTGATAACGACGCTCTGAACACATTTAATATAAAGTTAGGTTTTACAGACCAAACTCTCTGGTAGTTCAGGAGTAAAGTTCAGGAGTAAAGTGCAGGAGGAGATGTTAGGACTGACCGCTGGAGTCGACCCGCTGCTTGCTTCAACCTTTGTCTCTGTTGAAAACCTCTCTGACTGAAAGTCCCGCCCTGCTCTGCTCTGATTGGATAAAACGGCTCTGGACTTCATCTGATTTGTTGAAGGCAGTGTCTGTTTAATCCTCGCATCAGGGTCCTGGTGGGGCTGTCCTTAGGGGCTTGGTGAGCACTGCTCAATCCAGTCACACCAGTGTGGCTGGATTATTTTTTTTTTAAGAAATCAGGTTCCATTTGCGACCAAACTGGTCACACTCTAGAGCCCCGCTAGCTGTTGTATTGACAGACAATCTCAGGTACAATCGTAGGTACGCAAGTGAGCTTTATGACATTCCATCTGATGCACTTTTACTTTTTTTAATTGCGCATGCACACCTGCGCACCGCTTATGTGCAACCCTGGTTATATTATTWGCTTCAGTTCTGCTCAGATCACACTGAGCTAAATAAGATCAAATCTTCTTACTTGTGTTGTGAAATGAGACGTTTTCCTGCTTCTCTTCTGTTAATAAATCCATAACACAATCTAGAGCTGGGCGACATGATCAAAATTTTATATCACGGTATTTTCAACATTTTCACCGGTTTCACGGTATTTGACAGTATTTTTCTTTTCATCACAGCTCAGCTGATAATAAAATGTACAAACCCTGCTTATTGAGGTTTTTTTCTTTTACTCTACCTCTGTCTGTGTCGCTGTTTCCCTCCTCTGTGTCTGTTCTTCTCTGACTGGTGGTTGGAGACAGTAGTCACGCATTTTGGTCCAGTCGTGAAGGAGGAGGGTTAAGAAAAGATTATGATCGGGTTTATTGTTTTATGTTATTTATTAAAGCTTATCAGCACGACTCACCTTGCACACCAGTCAATTCCAACTCCACTACGAACTACTTCTCAATCAATTTGTTCAACTTTTTGTTGATAGTGTACTGTATTTCTCCTTTAAAAACTGAGAAAAAGCTTCAGATAAGTAATCATCTATACATTTTTAATTGTTTCTGTTCCTTATGTTCATCCTGCTATTGCTTTTTTTGTTCTTCTCCTCCCCAGATGTGGCCGGACCATCCGGTGCCTCCACTTCCTCTAAAGGCACTAAATCGTCRACAGCCTCAGCTACCAAAAGATCCATCCAGGACATGGAGGAAAAGTCTGAGGCTTTTAAATCCCTCTTCACCTCACACAGCTCTGCCAAGCGCACCAAAGACCAGACGTCCAACTGGGTCACCCACACCCCGTATCACTTCTAGTATCCGTTCTTCAGGGCAAGGCCGCCATTTTTTGTAGACCGCTCCAGAAATTGAATAAAGTATATGTATATTTACACACACCATGTGCTMTTAACTTTTAATAAAGTCACCAGTGTGTGGACTTATTCTCAGTTGTCCTTCTCAATTCCCAGTAGCTCATAGGTCATTGTTGTGAACATTTTGTTAACTGCTCCCTAAACAGTTCAGACTGTGTTTGGTAACTTAATGCGTCCCTCATGTGTTCCCCCACACGTCTGCATTGTCGTCCTGCGGTGACTTGAGAATTGATGCCGGGGTTTTGTTTATCATCTCTTCTGTTCCCTTGTGTCCGGAGCACAGCTCCTTCACATGTTGGCTGGATTACTAAGGCTATTAAAAATAAATATAAACAAAGATTTTTGGATTTATTTTACACTTCAGTTGTAAAGGAAAACATTGAATTGTACTTTTGAAAAGTGGAGATTTTTTTTTAGTAATTGTTTATAATTAACGTGAACAAATACTTCCTTTTCTCAAAATTGTTTTTGCATAACTTTGGTTTTATTTTGGAAAATGTATTTAACAGAATATTTGAATGTTTGAAAAGGTCTGTTTTTCCTTTAAATTGTAAAACAAATTTAAACACAGTGTTTTATGTGCATAAATAAACACAATACACACAGTTAAAACCAACAGTTGGATGATGGGAAGCATATTTTAACTCCGTTTTGAGCATCACAGGTTTTAATATATATATTGTTTGGAAACAGAGACCACTTTGTTTTATCTGTTAAAAAAAGAAACACTTATTTGAGCACCAGTATATGTGAATAAATACATTTTCATTTATACCATTAGCTGTCTTTATTACATGTAAATACATCCATCTGTTTTCCTTACCTGATGCTTCTTTCCACACAATCTGTACCATAATTTACTCATCCACACATTCATTCAGCATGTTACATGTCTCTACAAAGCTAATCTGAGCAAATCATTCTATAAAGACTCAGAGACACTTCAACATGGGACTGAATYGTGGTGGAGTCGAAACCTCAACTCTCATTGGAGGATGTCAACYACTAACCAATCAGCCACAGCCACCCTATTTAGAGTTAATGTTGTATAGTTACCAGTAAACCCAACATGCATTCAGTAATTTCCTTACTTGATGTGCTATGCAGACTAAAGTAAATTATTGTTTCTTCCCTGATCCATAAACCTTGGTCCATATTTTTTAAAAAAGGCTGAATAGTCATTTAAATCAAAGATAACGTTCATCCTTCACCTTTGGCCACAAAAATTAAGTTGATGTTGCCTGAAGACAGTTTTAAAACCAGCTACTGCAGTAAATATGTTGGTCTGATACAGAAACAAACGTATGTCAGTGGAACCTCAAGGTCTGATGTTGCAATGAGAGGTTATGGCCACCAGGTGGCGGCAGAGACTTTCCAACATGAGCGACTTTGATCGCGCTGTAAAGGCTTATAAAAATCCCTTTACTGAAGTCAATTATCGTATTGTTTTCAGTTCTTTTTGATTGTTGTACGCAGCTAATTGCTTTTAAGTAAGGAAACACAGACGAGTTTCATTGGCGTGTTGTATTTTTTTTTTATACTTAACAAGTCTTTATGGTTTTAGGAGCAAAATAGATATTTTAAACTTTTTTTAACCTATCAGGATAACGAACTTTGGTACTGTATGTATA